CAATCACGTGCATTGCATGGCAATCATGGGCTTAAATCAGGTGATGAGGAGGCAACATATCGCCTCCTCGCCACCTGTCAAATGCACTGGGATCATTTTGCAGAGGAGCAGCAGGTGCACCTACTGAACCTGTGTTGTATCTGGCAGTGGCACCCTAAGGGCTTGTTCACATGTAAAGTCAGGGGGGGGGTAAAACCCTGCAATTGAATCCCCCACTCAATCCCTACCCTCCTTTAGCTGCTGAAGGTGTATGCATGCCACAGCAGGAATTACACTCCCTGTTGCTTTTGGTGGGTTCTGCCGCCTGTCAACTGAGAAGGGAGGAAGGAAGGGGTGGGTGGGTGGAAGGAAGGAAGGGAGGGGGGTGGAAGGAAGGAAGGAAGGAAGGGAAGGGGGGTGGAAGGAAGGGGGGTGCAAGGAAGGGAAGGTGGTGGGAGGATGGAAGGAAGGGGGGGTGGAGGGAAGGGAGGGGGGTGGTGGAAGGAAGGGAAGGGGTGGAAGGATGGAAGGAAGGGGGTGGAAGGAGGGGGGGTGGAAGGATGGATGGAAGGGGGGAAGGTGGAAGGATAGAATGGAGGGAGGGGGGTGGAAGGATGGATGGAAGGGAGGGGGGGGGAGGTGGAAGGGAGGGAGGGGGTGGAAGGATGGAAGGTTAGGTCATAGTCACCATGACTTCAGAAGAATCAGAGCTGTGACCGTCGATTGCTGTGTTCAGTTTCCCACCCACACCTCCTCTGAAGCTGCACCGATTGGAGTGTGGGCGGGCACAGGAGGAGGCAGAGCAGATCCAGCCTCTCTCAGGCTCTTCCCCTATTGGTGTGGAGGATGGAGGGAGGGGCTGGGCTGCTGCTGGGCAGTGAGAAGAACACAGCGGCGGCAGGAACACAGCGTCTTCTCACTGCCCAGCCAAATTTCGAGGGCTGCAGCCAGGCATGGTTGGCAACTCTCCTCTGGGGGGTTCAGACCCCCCTGACACCCCCTTATCTACGCCCCCCTCTCCACTACCACTTGTTCCCCACCTTTGACTTGTTCCTTGACTACACTTCTGCTTGATCCCAACCTGCAACCTCTTGTTATTGACTTTTGGCTTGTTACTGACTATGCATCTGCTTGATTCCTACCTGCTATATCTACTACTGGACCCCGGCTTGCTCACCTCCTTGTGGGCCGGTCCTTAGGACCGTGACCTGGTACTAACATGCAGCAAAACCAGTCTCCACTATAAGGGGCTCTGGTGAAAAGCGGTTAGTACTTAGACCCCGCACCTCAGGTGAGCCCGCTTCATCTGCCAGGGTGACCCGCTTGTGTACCTATCCTGCTGGTCAGTGGGAACCTCTCTACTGCTATAGCTACTGATCTTTGAGTCTGACCTCAGATCATGGAAGAAACACAGTTAGTAAATGTACTTTTTCAAAAAAACCGCTGGGGTTTTAAGGAGGGGAAATCAAGCCATCAACGAAAATCCGCACGTTCCTAACCCCAGAAACCACTGAGCAGCTCATCCACTCCCTCATCATATCACGACTTGACTACTGCAACTCCCTCCTCACTGGCCTGCCTCGCCGCTGGCTATCCCCGCTTCAGTCCATCCTGAATACGGCGGCCAGACTCATTCACCTTTCCAACCACTCCATCTCCGCCACCCCCCTCCGCCAATCCCTCCACTGGCCTCCACTGTGTCCTCCACCCCCCCTCCACTCACTGGCTTCCGATTGCGCAACGGATCAAATTCAAAATCCTAACACTGACATACAAAGCCGTCCACCATACTGCCCCGAACTACATCACTGACCTAATATCCAAGTACCGCCCAACACCCACACTCTGTTCCTCACAAGACCTCCTTCTCTCTAGTTACCTGGTCTCCTCCTCCCATGCCCGCCTCCAGGACTTCTCCAGGGTGTCACCCATCCTCTGGAACTCCCTGCCCCAACCCATCAGATTATCACCTACTCTCCTCTCCTTTAGGTGCACCCTGAAAACCCATCTCTTCAGGGAAGCCTACCCCACCCCCTGCTAACTTGCCGACCTCCTCCACTCTTCCTACCACTCCATCCCCCACAGCTATCTCCTCCTGTGCCACCACCCCCTCCCTCCTAGATTGTAAACTCCAAAGAGCAGAGCCCTCGATCCCCTCATGTTTTGCATTGTATTGGTATTGTTCTGTCACATGTTCTGTCCCCCTTTGTAATGTACAGCGCTGAGCAAAACTATTGGCGCTTTATAAATGCTGTATAATAATAATAATTACTATGTAAAAACATCCAACTGTTACTTTAATAAAATGTAAAAATATTTTTTATTTTACAAAGCAAAATAAAAAGGTTTGACAACATCAAACGTATGACGAAACGCGTTGGATGGAGCCTAATGTGGCTTTGCCGCGCCAAACGGCCATAATGAATGTTACATTTTATTGGGATTGCTGAACCCCTGAGATTGTTTGATGGCTATTTGTTTTTAACGTAATATAAAGTGCAATATATATCTTTAAATATATAGTGTCGTATTAGGGTGGTATAGTGTTGGATTAGGGTGGTATAGTGTCAGAATTAGGGTGGATATAGTGTATAGGGTGGTATAGTGTTGGATTAGGGTGATATAGTGTCAGAATAGGGTGGTATATGTCGGATTAGGGTGGTATAGTGTTGGATTAGGGTGATATAGTGTCGTATTAGGGTGATATAGTGTCATATTAGGGTGGTAAAGTGTCGGATTAGGGTGATATAGTGTCAGATTAGGGTGGATATAGTGTCGGATTAGGGTGATATAGTGTCAGAATAGGGTGGTATAGTGTGGATTAGGGTGATATAGTGTCAGATTAGGGTGGTAAAGTGTCGGATTAGGGGTGATATAGTGTCAGAATAGGGTGGTATAGTGTCAGAATAGGGTGGTATAGTGTCGGATTAGGGTGGTATAGTGTCATATTAGGGTGGTATAGTGTTGGATTAGGGGTGGTATAGTGTCGGATTAGGGTGATATAGTGTCAGAATAAATAGGGCGGATTAGGGTGCTATAGTGTCAGATTTGGGTGGTATAGTGTCGGATTAGGGTGGTTAATAGTGTATAGTGTCATTAGGATTATGGGATTGGTATAGTGTCAGATTTGGGTGGTTAGAGTCGGATTAGGGTGGATATAGTGTCGGTATAAGTAGGGATTAGGGTGGTATAGTGTCGGATTAGGGTGGTATAGTGTCAGATTAGGGTGGTATAGTGTCATATTTAGGGTGGTATAATGTTGGATTAGGGTGGTATAGTGTCATATTAGGGTGGTATAGTGTCATATTAGGGTGGTATAATGTCGGATTAGGGTGGTATAATGTCGGATTAGGGTGGTATAGTGTCGGATTAGGGTGGTATAGTGTCAGATTAGGGTGGTATAATGTCGGATTAGGGGGTGGTATATGTCGGATTAGGGTGGTATATATGTCGGATTAGGGTGGTATAGTGTCAGATTAGGGTGGTATAGTGTCAGATTAGGGCAGTATAGTGGCAGTGTAGTGGCAGGTCATGGTTGGCTTTGGCAAGGCACAGCTACAATCTGGGGGCATAGTCCACCCCAGCACCCCCCTAGATCCGACCATGGGTGTCAAATTCAATCTCATTGCGGGCTGCATCAGCATTATGGTTGCCCACAAAGGACCGGTTTTATCTGTAACACCACTTCTCTAGAGCCCCCTCCCCCCCCATCAGATGTCAAGAGTCCCCCCACATCAGAAGTCAGGAGACCTTCCCTTACATCACAGTGCACCCCCTTTAACTTGTAAACTGCTGCTGGGAAGAAGCTGGGAAGAGGAGCTCGGAAGAAAGTGCAGAGTCTGGAGGAGGACTGGAGAGGTGCAAGGGCCACATAAAATGCTTGGTGGGCACCATTTGGCACGCAGGCCTTGTGATTTGACGTGCTATATATTATATTATTATTATTATTATACAGGATTTATGGCACCAACAGTTTGCTCAGCGCTTTACAATATAATGGGAGACAATACAGCAACAATACAGTTCAATACACGAGGGGTAGGAGGACCCTGATCCTGGGAATTACAATCTAGGAGGGAGGGGCTAGTGGTACAAGAGGTAATAAGTGTGGGGGATGGAGTGGTTAGAAGAGTAGAGGATTTTGGTATTAGCTGAGGGCAGGGTAGGCTTCCCTGAAGAGAGAGGTTTTCAGAGTGCGCCTAAAGGTGAGCAGAGTAGGCGATAGTCTGATGGGTTGGGGTAGGAAGTTCCAGAGGATGGGGGAAGCCCTGGAGAAGTCCTGGAGTTGGGTATGGGAGGAGGAGACAAGGGAGCTAGAGAGTAGGAGGTCTTGCGAGGAGCGGAGAGGACGGTTTGGGTGGTATTTGGAGACAAGATCGGTGATGTAATTTGGGGCAGTGTTATGAACAGCTTTATACGTCAGTGTTAGCGTTTTGAATTTTATCCGTTGGGCAATTGGAAGCCAGTGGAGGGATTGGCAGAGAGGGGTGGAGGACACTGAATGGAGGACAGTGGAGGGATTGGCAGAGAGGGGTGGAGGACACTGAATGGAGGACAGTGGAGGGATTGGCAGAGAGGTGTGGAGGACACTGAATGGAGACCAGTGGAGGGATTGGCAGAGAGGGGTGGAGGACACTGAATGGAGGCCAGTAGAGGGATTGGCAGAGAGGGGTGGAGGACACTGAGTGGAGACCAGTGGAGGAATTGGAAGAGAGGGGTGGAGGACACTGAATGGAAGCCAGTGGAGGGATTGGCAGAGGGGGGTGGAAGACACTGAATGGAGGCCAGTAGAGGGATTGGCAGAGAGGGGTGGAGGACACTGAGTGGAGGCCAGTGGAGGGATTGGCAGAGAGGGGAGGAGGACACTGAGCGGAGGCCAGTGGAGGGATTGGCAGAGAGGGGTGGAGGACACTGAATGGAGACCAGTGGAGGGATTGGCAGAGAGGGGTGGAGGACACTGAATGGAGGTCAGTAGAGAGATTGGCAGAGTGGGGTGGAGGACACTGAATGGAGGCCAGTAGAGGGATTGGCAGAGAGGGATGGAGGACACTGAATGGAAGCCAGTGGAGGGATTGGCAGAGAGGGGTGGAGGACACTGAGTGGAGGCCAGTGGAGGGATTGGCAGAGAGGGGTGGAGGACACTGAGTGGAGGCCAGTGGAGGGATTGGCAGAGAGGGGTGGAGTACACTGAGTGGAGGCCAGTGGAGGGATTGGCAGAGAGGGGTGGCAGATACAGAATGGTTAGTAAGGTGGGTGAGTCTAGCAGCAGCATTCATGATAGACTGGAGTGGGGATAGCCTGCGATGAGGTCGGCCAATGAGGAGGGAGTTACAGTAGTCGAGGCGTGATATAATAAGGGAGTGAATGAGTTGCTTAGTAGTGGTCTCAGAGGTTAGGAACGGGCGTATCCTGGAGATGTTGCGGAGTTGAAGTCTACAAGATTTGGACAGAGATTGGATTTGGGGCTGGAAGGACAGATGGGAGTCTAGGATGACACATAGTACCCTGGCATGAGGGGTGGGACTGATGGTGGGTGTTGTTGGTCTTGATGGGGAAGTCGGGGGGGGGGGGGGGGGGGGCTGGGGGGGGGGAATACTAGGACCTCGGTTTTGGAAAGATTTAGCTTGAGGAAGTGGAGTGACATCCAATCCGATATGTCGCTTAGTAGGCTTGTGATACGAGCGGAGACTGAAGGGGTGAGATATATATATAATTATTATTATACAGTATTTATATAGCGCCAAAGGGTATGCTCAGCGCTGTACAATAGCAAGGGGGACAGAACATGAGACAAGACAGTAACAATACACGAGGGGTTCGAGGGCCCTGCTCTATCGAGCTTACAATCTAGGAGGGAGGGGAAGGTGGTACAGGAGGAAATGGCTGTGGGGGATGGAGTGGTGGGAGGAGTGGAGGAGGTCAGTTGTTAGTTGAGTTCAGGTGTTAGGCGAGGGTGGGGTAGGCTTCCCTGAAGAGGAAGGTTTTCAGGGTGTGCCTGAAGGTGAGGAGGGTAGGTGACAGTCTGATGGATTGGGGTAGGGAGTTCCAGAGGATGGGGGAAGTCCTGGAGAAGTCCTGCAATCGGGTGTGGGAGGAGGAGACCAGGGAGCTAGAGAGTAGGAGTTCCTGTGAGGAGCGGAGGGCACGGGTAGGGTAGTATTTGGGTATCAGTTCAGTTATGTAGTTTGGGGCGGCATTGTGAATGGCCTTTGTAGGTCAGAGTTAGCAGTTTGAATTTGATGCATTGGGCAATCTGGAGCCAATGAAGGGATTGGCAGAGGGGGGAGGCAGATGTGGAGTGGTTGGTGAGGTGGATGAGTCTAGGTGCGGAGTTCAGGATAGACTGGAGAGGGGATAGCGTTCGTTTGGGTAGGCCGGTGGGGAGGGAGTTGCAGTAGTCCAGGCGTGAGATGATGAGGGAGTGTACGAGTTGTTTGGTGGTGTCTGGGGTGAGGAATGTGCGTATCTTGGAGATGTTGCGGAGGTGGAGACTGCAAGATCTAGATAGCAGTTGGATGTGGGGTAGGAAGGAGAGGTGGGAGTCCAGGGTGACACCCAGGACTTTGGCGTGTGGGGTGGGAGAGATGGTGGCGTTGTTAGTAGTGATGGAGAGGATGGGGGGGGGGCGGGGAGGGGGAGACCAGGAGCTCGGTTTTGGATAGGTTACGTTTGAGGAAATGGGGGGACATCCAGTCTGATATGTCGTTTAGGAGGTGGGTGATGCGGGCAGAGAGTGAGGGGGTGAGGTGGGGGGTGGAGAGGTAAATTTTGGTGTCATTGGCATAGAGGTGGTAATTGAAGCCGTGGGAGTGAATAAGTTTGCCAAGGGAGGAGGTATAGATGGAGAAGAGGAGGGGCCCGAGGACAGAGCCTTGGGGGACCCCGACAGAGAGGGGGAGGGAGGGGGAGGTGGCAGTGTTGTAGGTGACACTGAAGGAGCGTTGGGAAAGGTAGGAGGAGAACCAGGAGAGAGCAAAATCTCTGATGCCAAGGGAGTGCAGTTTGGCAAGGAGGAGAGGGTGGTCAACAGTGTCGAAGGCCGCGGAGAGGTCGAGGAGCAGGAGGATAGAATAGTGGCCATTGGCTTTGGCGGTTAGCAGGTCGTTGGTGATTTTAAGTAGGGCGGATCCGGTGGAGTGTAGGGGACGGAAGCCAAACTGTAGGGGGTCAAGGAGGTTGTGGTTTATCAGTGAGGTGGGCGCTTAGGCGATTGTAGGCCAGGCGCTCAATGAGCTTGGAAGTGAAGGGCAACAAGGAGATGGGTCTAAGGTTGTTAAGGTTAGTGCGGTCCAAGGAGGGTTTTTTGAGTATGGGGGTGATGTGTGCGTGCTTTAGGGGGAGGGAAGGTGCCGGTGGAGAGGGAGAGATTGAAGATGTGGGTGAGGGAGCGAATTATGGAGGGGGGGGGTGACTGGAGGAGCTGTGAGGGGACAGGGTCCAGGGGCAGGTGGTGAGGCGGGCTTCAGTGAAGACCTTAGAGACCTCCTCAGAGGTAGTTGGGCTGAAGGAGCGGAGTGTTGGGGAGGTGATGATGTGCGGGGCATTAGGTATAGTGGGGGGTAGTGCGGCTATGAGACTCAGGGGAGGGGAGGGTTGAGGGGTTAGAGGAGGGCGGGAGGCTGGGTGGAGAGGTGGATTGTGAGTTGACAATGTCCTTACGGATTGCGTCAATCTTGTTTTGGAAGTGATTGGCAATCTCGTGGGCGGTGAGTGAGGTGCGGGGTGGGGAGGGGGGGGGGGGGGGGAGAGCAGGGATTTGAAAGTGGAGAAGAGCCGGCGAGGACAGGTGGAGGGGGTGTTGATGAGGGTTATGAAATAGGCTTGCTTGGCGGCGTGGAGGGAGGAGGTGTAGGCGAGGTAGGCAGCTACATAGAGGGAGAATGCGTGAGGGGATCTGGTTTTGCGCCATAAGCGTTCCAGTGTGCGACTGCATCGTTTGAGGCATTTCGTGTGGTCGTTTTGCCAGGGTTGAAGCGGTCGGGGTCTAATGCTACGAGTGGTTAGGAGTGCCATGGAGTCAAGGGCAGCTGACAGTGAGTCGCTGTACGCAGTAGTGGCCAGGTCAGGGCATGACAGAGGGAGGGGACTGTCATACAGACGGTCAGCTGCCGGGTGGAGATGGGTCGGGTACAGATTGCGGAGGTTGCGGGTGATGGTTAGATGCTTCGGGGGGGGGGGGGGGGGGAGTTGAGGGAGGGGGAGATGGAGAATGTGATGAGGTGGTGGTCAGAGAGGGGGAAGGGGGTGTTAGTGAAGTCGTGGGGGGTGCAGAGGTGGGAGAAAACGAGGTCCAGGGTGTTTCCATTGGAGTGGGTGGAGGACTGAGTGTGCTGTGTGAGCGCGAGGGAGGAGGTTAGAAGGAGAAGTTGGGAAGTCGCCGGGCTGTTGGCGTTGATCGGGATGTTGAAGTCGCCTAGGATGATGGTCGGTAGCTCGGAGAAGAGGAAGAAGGGAAACCAGGCGGCAAAGTCGTCTAGGAAGGGGGATGCGGAACAAGGAGGCCAATAGATTACCGCAATCCTTAGGGGGGTGGGGGAGAGAAGAGCCGGATGCAGTGAGCCTCGAAGGAGGAGAAGGATAGGGAGGGGGGGGGGTTAGGGAGGACCTGGAAGGTGCTCAGCTGTGGTAGGAGCATACCGACCCCTCCGCCACTGCGCCCGCTCGGTCTGGGTGAATATATATATATATTTTGTTTACTATTTTTTTTCCTATGAAAGTGAAGTTACCCTTGAAGAGGATCTTGACCCCCCCCCCCACCCCACAGCACATAATTTTTACAGTGGCCCTTTGTATTATTCCACAGCGGGCCCCAATTCTGAATTTAGAAAATCAGACAATGGCTAAGAATGGCAAACTCGTATCTGTTTTTTTCGGCTGCTGGTCTTGATTTGTTGTTCCCATCAAAATGTACTTTAACTTCCTCCCGCCCGCCATATAAGGTAATGACGGGCGCAAGGCGGTTTTCTCATTCTGGGAGGACGTCATATGATGTCCTCCCACTCTAACCGCGCATGGAAAGATCAACGGAAAGAGACGAAGATGTTACGTGATCAGCTGTGTCCAATCACAGCTGATCGCATGTAAATAGGGAAATGCCGGTTATTGGCATTTCTCTCCTCTCGAGCTGTCACTCTGACAGAGGAGAGGAGAGCTGGTAATCGGCATTTCTCAGAGGGGACATGTGCCCTGATGATCAGTGTAGCCCCAGCAGTGCCACATCAATGCCACATATCAGTGCCTACCAGTGCACATCAATGCCACATATCAGTGCCCATCTGTGCTGCCTTTCAGTGTCACATATAAGTGCCAGTCAGTGCCGGCTATCAGTGCACATTAGTGCCGCTTATCAGTGCCCATCAGTGCTGCCTATCAATGCCGCCCAACAGTGTCAGTCAGTGCCACCTAACAGTGCCAGTCAGTGCTGCTTATCAGTGCCGCCTATCAGTGCCATATATAAGTGCTGCCTTTCAGTGCCCATCAGTGATGCCTGTCAATGCCCAGCAGTGCCACCTACTAGTGCCTCCTCATCAGTGTCCATCAGTACAGCCTCATCAGTGCCCATCATGCAGCCTCATTAGCGCATATCAGTGAAGGAGAAAAATCACTTATTTACAACATTTTATAGCAAAAACTAAGAAAAAAAAACATTTTTTTTTTCAAAATTTTCAGTGTTTTTTGGTTTGTTTAGCAAAAAATAAAAAACCTGAGGTGATGAAATACCACCAAAAGAAAGCTGCATCTGTGTCAAAAAAATGATAAAATTTTCATATGGGTACAGTGTTGCATGACCACGCAATTGTAACTCAAAGTGTTACGGAGAGCGCTGAAAGCTGGAAATTGGCCTGGGCAGGAAGGGGATTTAGAAGTGCCGGTAGGCAGGAAGGGGGTAGAAGTGTCCTGTAGGCAGGAAGGGGGTAGAAGTGCCTGTAGGCAGGAAGGGGGGTAGAAGTGCCCTGTAGGCAGGAAGGGGGTAGAAGTGCCGGTAGGCAGGAAGGGGGTAGAAGTGTCCTGTAGGCAGGAAGGGGGGGTAGAAGTGCCCGGTAAGCAGGAAGGGGGTAGAAGTGCCCTGTAGGCAGGAAGGGGGTAGAAGTGCCCTGTAGGCAGGAAGGGGGTAGAAGTGCCCGGTAGGCAGGAAGGGGGTAGAAGTGCCGGTAGGCAGGAAGGGGGTAGAAGTGCCCGGTAGGCAGGAAGGGGGTAGAAGTGCCCGGTAGGCAGGAAGGCGGTAGAAGTGCCCGGTAGGCAGGAAGGCGGTAGAAGTGCCCGTAGACAGGAAGGGAGTAGAAGTGCCGTAGGCAGGAAGGGGGTAGACGTGCCAGGGGAGCAGGGAAGGGGGTAGAAGTGCCGGTAGGGACAGGAAGGGGGTTAGAAGTGCCCAGGTGGACAGGAAGGGGGTAGAAGTGCCCAGGTAGGACAGGAAGGGGGTAGAAGTGCCAGAGGGGCAGGAAGGGGGAGAGGTTCGGGGGCCCGGTAGGCAGGAAGGGAGTTAGAAGTACCCTGTAGTGCAGGAACGGATGGTAGAAGTACCCGGTGGGGCAGGAAGGGGGTAGAAGTGCCCGGTTGGGCAGGAAGGGGGTAGAAGTGCCCTGTAGGCAGGAAGGGGGCAGAAGTGCCCGGTAGGCAGGAAGGGGGGTAGAAGTGTCCTGTAAGCAGGAAGGGGGTAGAAGTACCTGTAGGCAGGAAGGGGGGTAGAAGTGTCCTGTAGGCAGGAAGGGGGTAGAAGTGCCCTGTAGGCATGAAGGGGGTAGAAGTGTCCTGTAGGCAGTGAAGGGGGTAGAAGTGTCCTGTATGGCAGGAAGGGGGTAGAAGTGCCAGGCGGGGGGCAGGAAGTTGGGTAGATAGTGCCCGGTAGGCAGGAAGGGGGTAGAAGTGGCCGGTAGGCAGGAAGGGGGTAGAAGTGGCCGGTAGGAGGAAAGGGGGTAGAAGTGGCCGGTAGGCAGGAAGGGGGTAGAGGAGATTAGGCGGGTAGGCAGGAAGTGGGTAGAAGTGCCCGGTAGGGCAGGAAGGGGGTAGAAGTGCCCGGTAGGGCAGGGAAGGGGGTAGAATGTGGCCCGGTAGGCGAGGGTTAAAATACATTTCAGCGGGACAGTATATAAAAGCAAAATATCCGGCAACAAAAACAAGAAAAACATCATTTAAAAAAATCACTTTTTAAAAAATGTATATTAGGAAGACGAGAATCCTGTCCCTCCCGGCGGCAGCCCGCAGAGCGACATAAATGTGAACGATGCCCCGCCACGCTTTTTGTTTTAGGTCCACTCCAGCTGTGCATTGGCCGATGAACAATGGGCACGCCATCTCGCCGGCCGCTGCGTTGGAGCGATCGATAGAAGCCGGTCCTGTTGCTCGGGTCTCGGAGAATCGTTCTGTGTGATGATAATGACTCGCGCGTTTGATGATTCCCGTACAGAATGTGCAAGTTTCAGACATCCTGATTGGGACGTGAGCGGCTTTTCACCGGCTTGTGTTTCGGGAGGCATGCCGACTAAATCGACTTTGCAAATGTTTTCTGTTTTTGGGCGATCAGAAGGTAATGAAGGATGTTGGTGGCCCAGGAGCGCGTCTTCGCCGGAATGATTGATTGCTGAAAAGAAGAAGAGATGTGATTACAATTTCCCCGTCTGATCCGAGCGAGCGCGCTACAGGACGTAGAAAAGACGCAGGGACCGTCGGAGAAGAGCAGGAGAATGTGTCGGGGGATATGCGCCGTGGATAGTACGAATTACAGTGGGGGGGGTCACCCGAAGGGGGGGGGGCTTTGAAGACGCTACTGCAGGGCGGCCAATGGTGTAGAATCGATCCGCTGAACCATTGCTACCACCACGGGGGAGACAGTGTGGACACGATTACAGGCAGAAATTCCCGCATCACTACATCCTGTTGCGGATATTTATATATAATTTGTAACCATTTTCAGCAGCCTTTTTTTTGCAGTGGTCTGAAAAGGGACTGCAACCTCTTGTTGCATGATTCTGTGCTGTGCAAAATGACCGTCTCTACAGAGGTCAGGGCCTGGAAACACAGCGACATCGAGTTCTATCTAGAATGGAGACGCGGAGAGATATACAATCCCAATGTTCTCAGATATATCGTGGTAAAAGACATCAGAAAACATTGTGCAATCCACCCATCCATTCATCAGTTTATCCGTTCATATCCATTCATGTGTCCATCCACCTGTTCATCCATCCCATCCCTCCATTTGTCCCTCCGTCCATCCATTCCATGCACCCATCCGTATGTTCGTCCATTATCCCTTCCATCTGACTGGCTGTTCAACCATCTATTCATTTTGGGAGCCATTCAATGGGATATACAGCGCCTTGAAAAAGTCCCCCCCAAAATGTCCCCCATGTTGTCATGTAACAATGTATTCCCCCTACCCCCCAAAATGTCCCCCATGTTGTCATGTAAACAATGTACTCCCCTCCCCCTGAAATGTCCCCCATGTTGTCATGTTACAATGTATTCCCTCCCCCTGAAATGTCCCCCACGTTGTCATGTTATAATGTATCCCCCCCGAAATGCCCCCCATGTTGTCATGTTATAATGTATCCCCCCCCCCAACCGAAATGCCCCCCATGTTGTCATGTTACAATGTATTCCCCCATGCCCCCCTGAAAATGTCCCCCATGTTGTCATGTTACAATGTATTCCCCTCCCCCCCTGAAATGCCCCCCCATGTTGTCATGTTTACAATGTATTCCCCTCCCCCCTGAAATGCCCCCCATGTTGTCATGTTACAATGTACATTCCCCTCCCCCCTGAAATGCCCCCCATGTTGTCATGTTACAATGTATTCCCTCCCCCCTGAAATGCCCCCCATGTTGTCATGTTTACAATGTATTCCCCTCCCCCCCGAAATGTCCCCCATGTTGTCCATGTTACAATGTTATTCCCCCTCCCCCCCGAAATGCCCCCCATGTTGTCATGTTACAATATGTATCCCCCCCCCCTGAAATGTCCCCAATGTTGTCATGTTACATTGTATTCCCCCTCCCCCCTGAAAATGTCCCCATGTTGTCATGTTTACAATGTATCCCCCCTCCCCCCCTGAAAATGTCCCCCATGTTGTCATGTTACATTGTATTCCCCCTCCCCCCCTGAAATGTCTGTCCCCCATGTTGTCATGTTACAATGTATCCCCCCCCCCCCGAAATGGCCCCCCATGTTGTCATGTTACAATGTATCCGCCCATGTTGTCATGTTACAATGTATCCCCCCCATCTTGTCATGTTACAATGTATCCCCCCCCATGTTGTCATGTTACAATGTATCCCCCCCATCTTGTCATGTTACAATGTATCCCCCCCATGTTGTCATGTTACAATGTATCTAATCGGGATTGGATGTGATGTGACCGACACAAAGTGGCACATAATTGTGAAGTGGAAGGAAAATGAGAAATGGTTTCCCAACATTGTGACCAATAAATCTGTGAAAAGTGTGGCGGCATTTGTATTCAGCCCCCGGAGTCAATACTTTGTAGGACCCCCCTTTGGCTGCAATTCCAGCTGCAAGTTCTTTTTGGGGATGTCTCTTTGCACATCTAGAGAGGGACATTTCTGCCCGTTCTTCATTGCAGAATCCTCTCAAGCTGTCAGATTGCATGGAGAGCGTCTGGGAACAGCAATTCTCAGGTCTGGCCACAGATTCTCCATTGGATTTGGGTCTGGACTGTGACTGGGCCATTCTAACACATGAAGATGCTTTGATCTGAACCCTTCCATTGTACCTCTGGCTGGATGTTTTCGGGTCGTTGTCCTGCTGGAAGGGGAACCTCTCCGCCCCGGTCTCAAGTCTTCTGCGAAACTCTAACAGGTTTTTCTTCTAAGATTGCCCTGTATTTGGCTCCATCCATTCTTCCCATCAACTCTGACCAGCTTCCCTGTCCCTGCTGAAGAAAAACATCCCCCCCCCACATGATGCTGCCACGCACCAATGCTTCACAGTGGGGGGGATGGTGTGCTCAGGGGAATGGGCAGTGTTAGTTTTTTCCCCCACACATAGCGTTTTGTGCTTTTTTTGGGCTAAAAAGTACTTCATTTTTGGTCCCCTCTGACCAGAGCCCCTTCTTCCACATGTTTGCTGTATCCCCCCACATGACTTCTCACAAACTGCAAACAGGACTTCTTATGGCTTTCTTCCAACAATGGCTTTCTTCTTGTCACTCTTCCATAAAGGCCAGATTTGGGGAGTGGACGACTAATAGTTGTCCTGTGGACAGATTCTCCCCCCTGAGCTGTGGTTCTCTGCAGCTCCTCCAGAGTTCCCAATGGGCCTCTTGGCTGCTTCTCTGATGAATGCTCTCCTTGCCCGGCCTGTCAGTTTTAGGTGGGACGGCCATGTCTTGGTAGGTTGGCAGTTGGTGCCGTACTCTTCCCATTTTCGGGTGATGGATTGAACAGTTGATCTGTGAGATGGTCAAAGCTCAGGAGATTTTTTATAACTAACCCTACTTTACACTTCTTCACAACTTTATCCCTGACCTGTCTGATGTGTTTTCCTTGGCCTTCATGATGCTTTTTGTTCACTAATGTTCTCTAACAAACCTCTGAGGGCTTCACAGAACAGCTGTATTTATACTGAGATCACATGACACACAGGAGGACTCTATTTACTAAGTAGGTGACTTCTGAAGGCAATTGGTTCCACGAGATTTGGAGGCCAACGACGAATGGATGGATTAAATGGACCAAAAGGACAGATGGATGGATGGATGGATGGACGGATAGAGGGATGGATGGACAGAGGGATGGATGGATGGATAGAGGGATGGATGGACGGACAGAGGGATGGATGGATGGACAGAGGGATGGATGGATGGCCACCTTGCCTTTTACATAATATACCTGCAAACCACAGTCCAGAGGCCACCCCTAGGGACCAGTATTCTACAGTCCCTTAACCGTTTCAATACCGTGCAATTTTTCCCCCTTCCATCCCAGGCCATTTTTCAGGTTTCAGCGCTCTCACACTTTGAATGACAATTGCGCGGTCATACAACATTGTACCCAAACTAAAATTTTATCATTTTCTTCACACAACTAGAGCTTTCTTTTGGTGGTATTTAATCACCGCTGGGGTTTTTATTTTTTGCTAAATTAACAAAAAAAGGCCAAACATTTTGAAAAAAAAAACACATTTTTCTTTGTTTCTGTTATAAAAGTTTACAAATAAATAATTGTTCTTCATAAATTTAGGCCGAGATGTATTCTGCTACATGTCTTTGGTAAAAAATAACCCAAATTAGGATGTATTATTTAGTTTGTAGGAAAGTTATAGAGTTCACAAACTATGGTATAGATCTGAATATTGATCAATCCTGAAGTACTGACAGCCAATCTAATTTCTTCAGGTCCAAGAATGTCAGAACAGTACAGATATCCCCCAAATGTCAGGACAGTACAGATATCCCCCAAATGTCAGAACGGTACAGATATCCCCCAAATGTCAGAACGGTACAGATATCCCCCAAATGTCAGAACAGTACAGATATCCCCCAAATGTCAGGACAGTACAGATATCCCCCAAATGTCAGAACGGTACAGATATCCCCCAAATGTCAGAACAGTACAGATATCCCCAAATGTCAGGACGGTACAGATCTCCCCCCAAGTGTCAGGACAGTACAGATATCCCCCAAATGTCAGGACAGTACAGATATCCCCAAATGACCCCTTTTTGAAGAGTAGACAGTCCGACGTACTTCATAAGAGGAAATGGCGAGTTTTTTGAAGTTGTATTTTTTTTTGTCATAATTTTTCGGAAAATGAAAAAATTAAAAAAATTATTTTCACTATTTTTTTTTTTACATACTGTCACCAGTGCAGTACAGCGTTCATCATATAACTGGCATGGCGGTGAACAGGGACACTGACTGGTGACAGTATGAAAAAAAAAATATATATATTTTTTTTTTTTTTTTTTTATTATATTTAATTTTTTATTACTTTTTTTATTTTTTTTAAGATTTTTTTTCATATTTTACTATGACCAAAGTAGTACAATGTTACCATAGTAACATTGTACTACTTTGGGGAAGTGATCAGTATTATTATTTATTTATTTTTTTTACACAATTTGCTTATAGCAAAGA